AATATGATACTAGAAAAAACTATAGAACCTTCCTCAAAATTTTATATATATATATGTATGTATGTATGTATGTATGTATGTATGTATGTATTGCAATGAGGGTTTTTAGGATGGTTAAATCAGAATGTTTCCAACACCTTATTCTTTTTTATAGAATTTTGAATTTTTTAAATTGTTATAGATCTTTTCATGTCTTTTGAATTTAAAAAGTAAGAAGTGGCTTCACTTATATAGGAATTTGATTTGAAATTTATTAATGTGAGGTAAATAAAGAGGAAACATAACCAATTACTAAAAGTATACAAATAAATAACAATATTTTATCCTTCAACTTAGTAATCCTAACTAAAAGGACAATTTATATAGAAAACAAAAACAAAGTAATATTCATTGGTCATGGATTAAAAAATCAGGAATGGCACCATTCGTGAATCCTAAATTATGAAATCACTAAATAAAAAACAAAGTACTACTAGCATTTCAAAATAAAAAATTTTATTTGAAATATCTATTTTAGATGAAAAATAATACAGTAATAAAAATAGCACCAATTCTACCAAAAATTAAAAAATAACAATGCAATTTAAAGAAAAGATGTAGAACTTTTGACCCCAAACTATATATCTATTTAATTGTATATATTTAATCCAAATTCGACCTTAACTAAATTTGAATAAGAGTGCAACACCCAAATGCTAAGAATAGTCTTGGGTATTATTGGTTATTTTATGTATTCTTATTGTTTTCTTCATATGTAAATCTACAATTACTATGTCATTTTTATATATTATTTTTGTAGTAGTTAGGGTTTTATAAGATATTATCAATGTTTCATTTGCATTTTGAAATGCCAATACGTGCAACAATTGTGATTAATCTTCATTTTTATATGCTTTTCATATTATGAGAGGTAAAGTTAAATATATTGTAAAAATGTTCAATCAAATTGCAGGTTATGGTTTTCTTTTTTTCTTTTGCTTCAAATTTTATCTTTTCAAATTTATTTTGAAAGTACAAATATAAGTATATTTTAAAATTGTAAAACCAAATTGCAATTTATGAAATTTTTTTTTGCTTCAAGCTTTAACTCTTCAATTTGTATTCAACCTCAATATTTCTCCTTTGGAATCATTCAATTCAAAATTAATATGAAAAATAACTAAATATGGTGTGTTTGTACTTTTGTATTGAATTTTCATTTTTATATTTTACTAGCCAAATTCACTTTATTATAGTGTAACATAAGTATATGTTAAGTTATATTTTGAATAAATAAAAGAGAAATATTAGGTGGCAAGGATAGGAAGCTAGAGGCTAACTATATGCAAGGGAAAAGGGAATAGTAAAGAGACAAAGTGACGAAAAAAGTTGAAAAAAAGAAGGTGAACTACTACAAGGTTAGACGAAGAGAGGAGAGAAGAAAAAAGATGATTGTTGGGACATAGCCGGAAGGACGGTTGTGTGGTAAGAGTTTTGAAGGACATAGAAGGTAACGGAGAGCCAGTTATCAAGCAAGAGAGGATGGAAAGGGTGATAGTTTTTAATAATTTTAAAAATTTTAAAAACACATCTTACAAAGATTTTTTTAAAAAAATTTATATTAAAGTTTATGAAGAACACTATTTTATAAGCACTCAAGAATTTTAGGATTACAAGATGGGAGAAAAAAATTTCTAAAAATGAGGAAAATGAATTAGTTAAAATTTATATTTTTAATATTAAAAATTTTTATGTATGGGTATAACATGACATATTGATAAATAGGTTTACAATTGCTCTATCATGTAAATCCTTATAAATTAAATTATTTTATTCAAATTGTTATCATGCATTGACAGAGAATAGGTAAACAAATTTTGATTTCAACTTATTTAAGATACTAAATTAGCAAAATACATTTTGTACTTATGAAATAAACTTTTTTTAACATGTTAAGAATACACTTATTTGAATTTTTTTTGCCTTTTTCATATACTTTATCCTATATTATAATATATGAGTATATATATTATTGTTTTAAATTGAAATATAAATCCCCTATATTATATAATTATATATATTAGTATTGTTTTGAATTGAAATATAAACCCCTGCATTGCACGAGTGACAATGCTAGTTGTATCCTTAGGTCAATAGCCAAGATGTGTGATAAGATAAGCTATACACATTTACGTTACATATTTGAGGATGTGATAAATTCAAACAATCAAATGCGACCAAAAAAAAAAGCCAAGATATGTGATAAGATGATTTGTAGCTGTGTGATAAGATAAAACTGTACACATTTACGTTACATATTTGAGGATGTGATAATTTGAAAGAATCACATGCGGCCAAAAAAATCCAAGATATGTGATAAGATGATTTGTACCCATTTACGTTACATGTTAGAGGATGTGAAAAAACAACCGACCATGTTTGACAATTGTTTCAATCCTCGATCTCGGCAAGACTAGTTCTTGGTTTTTTTCAAAAAATTTAATTTGGGTAGTCATATTGGCATAGAATACTTAGAACTTTGGTTTTTTTTTTTTTTTTTATAAATGAACGGTTTTAAATCCAAAACCTCCTACTTACAATTCTCTCACCGTACCACCCAACACGACCCTAAAATCAATACATATATCATAATAAATTAATACACTATATTGTGTTTTAAACATGGGTAAAGACACAGAGGTTGCATAAGAAAAATTCAACATTTGATGAAGGATTAAATCAATATCCTTTTGTCTTTAATCATAATTATTTTCATTTATGTCACTGGGTATTAGGTATCAGTTTTTAGAATCCTCTTATCAAATCCTATCAATTTATCTATCGTAATTTCTCATCAATTCCAAAACCTATCAAGTAACTCTTCAATATCTAATTTAATAAGATTAATCATCGAGTGAAATATCCATGAGTATGAACACTTATTTTTTGCTTTACGAAGGGTGTTCATATAACCCTTTTGTGGTTTATCACTACCGTTCTGCGTCGGCTTACATATAATGCGACAAGATGCTCCGCGCACATTTACGTTACATATTAGATTCAAACAATCAAATGTGAAAAAAAAAAAAACAAAAACAAAAGCTAAGATGTGTGATAAGATGAGTTGTACAGATTTACGTTACACATTAGTGGTTGTGAAAATCTAACCGACCATGTTTGACAATTGTTTCAATCCTCGATCTGGGTTAAAATTTGTTTTTTTTTTTTCGTTTTTGGTTTATTTTTTAATTTTAATTGGGATATTTTGTCGTATTTGCATAGAGTCCTTAGGCCTTAAGGTTAATTTATTCCAGTTCCGTACTTAATTCTTAATAACATCCACATGATCTGCCACATCCTCAAAGATGTTACTACTGGCAGAAATACAGCGTATCAAGTTTTACGTATAAAAAAAAGGGAAAATCGTTCAAAACGTCCCTCACATTTTGTAAAATAAATTTTTTCGTCTTTCACTTTTAAAAATATAATTTTACGTCTCTTACAAATTTACATTGATCAAATTTGGTCCCTACTTAGGTTTTTGACTAATTTTTTGTCAGAATTCATCATGTGCCTTGCACGTGATCATATTTTAAGGGCAAAATTATCAAATCAAATTTTATATAATTCAATTCATAACCCCTCACATTTCATAAAATAAATTTTTTCGTCCCTTACATTTCACAAAATGAATTTTTTCATCTTTCACATTTTTCAAAATGAATTTTTTCATCTTTTATTGATCATGTGCTTAATAATTTTTTTTAAATCCATGTATATATTTATTTGATTTCACTTGAACAGTACGAATAGCATGTGAAATCAAATAGAGATATATTACATACTATTCATACTGCTCAAGTGAAATCAAATAGATATATACATGTGTTTAAAAAAATTGTTAGTTTTTCACTTATATTCATTTTCTTTTACTCGAAATTTGAAAATAAAGATGACATTTAATTCTAAATATTATCGAGTGTTTATATCGAATTAAATTTGGATTGAAAAAGTAAACAAAAGAAAAGTATGACAAAAAGAAATAAGTGATTGGCACTTTCAAAATTTAAGACAATCACAAAGCAAGTAATTCAACTGTTGGTCTTAAAAGTGTCGAGTAGAAATTTCAGATTTAAACTGAAATTTGTTAACACAATTATAGAATTCGAGTTAGGACCCATTAATTAGATGACTTTATTATACAACTCAATAAATAAATTATTACCAAAAGAAAAAAGTCACAAATATTGAATAGGTTCAAATGATGAAATCATATAAATATATACGTGGGTTTGAAATAAAATTATTAGTTTTAAACCCCAATATATATCTATTGAATAACATGTGTATAGCTATGATTAGCATGTTTAGATGAATCCAATAGAGATAAATTACTTGTTATTCATACTGTTCAGGTAAAATAAAAAAGACATATACGTGAATTTATACAAAAAAAGTTATTCGTACACATGATCAATGAGGGATGAAAAAATTTATTTTGAAAAATGTGAGGGATGAAAAAATTCATTTTTTGAAATGTAAGAAACGAAACAATTCATTTTGTAAAATGTTAGGGACGAAAAAATTCATTTTATGAAATTTGAGGGACTATGAATCAGATTATATAAAAATTTGATTTGATAATTTTACGCTTTAAAAATGATCACATGCAAGTCACGTGGTGAATTTCGACTAAAAACTAGTCAGAAACCTAAGTAGGGATCAAATTTGATCAATGTAAATTTGTAAGGGAGGTAACAATTTTAAAAGTGAGGGCAGAAAAAAGTCATTTTGTAAAATATGAGGGACGTTTTGAACGATTTTTCCTAAAAAAAAAAAACGAAAGTTGTACGTATAAAAAGAGAATTCTCAATCGCAAAAACTATGGCAGATTAATGCACTTTTCTTTTTGTTTCTGCTGCTCCTCGAGAACTGAAAGGCAGGTATGCCCTTTATTCGCCATTTTCCTCTTCATTTTCTCACTTCTCTTTTTTTGTTTGTATCTCCAGTGGTGCATGAAACATCTATGACTTTTTTATATATGCATATATAGCATACCACATAGTGAGAGGCTCCAAGAAGCGAGAAATACAATAATATTTGTTGTTGTACTCTCTATAACATATATGGCATGGCTTCCAGTGGTATTCAAGAAAGTTGTGTTTGATCTTTGAAGATCTGTCCTGAAAATGATTGATATCTTTGCACTTTATTGTCACTGATCAAATTCAGATATCAAACATTTCTTTGTTGTCTTCTTCTGTTTTTTAAGACTATCATTGTCTGAAACTCCTGGTTTGGTAAGAAAATTATTGCACCAGACCAAGTCCCCTGGATGAAGTCTTGTTGGACTGGACACAATCTTAATCTTGGGGTCCTAATTCTTACGTCCTTTTGGTTTTTCTTGTTTTTCCTCCGCTTAATTCTTTCTCTTTTTCTTTTGAGTTGAAATGTGTTCTTTTTCCAGGTCATAGCGTAATCAAGATCAGGTGATGATTGTGATTCTGATTCTTGAGTCTTTGTTTGCCTTGAACTAGGAGCTTTGTCATTCTTGTTCTTCAGGTACTTCTCTTCTCCTTTATGCGTTTTGGCCTGGAGAATTTTGAAGCTTTTTTCTGAATTCTGAGTTGTCCTGATCAGGCATTTTGTCCCTTGCTGTTCTAAGTTGTGCTATCGCATATAAGCCTGGTTTTTTAGGCCAATCTTCAAGCTTAATTCCTCGTTCCTGAATCACAATTCCTCCTTGATGAGGTGCAAAATTACTAGTCTGCATTACGCTGGCAACCATCCCTGGTAATAAAAGTACTACACGAAATAGAGGAAGAAAAATTAGATTGGTCATGTTTTAGTCACCATATGTATAGGCCTAAAATTTTTAAGGGATTGATAAATTAAAATTTGCTCGATTACAAACTAAAATTAAGATAGACCCAATGGGCTAAAACGGCGAAATTCATTTCTGCAATTCTTCTTGTTTTGCTTGTTCATCCAGAAATTTTGCAGTGAAGAGAGGAACAAACATGAACGTGATACGAGAAACGCGGGGACGATCTCACCCTTTGACTGAAAGACAAATTAAGGCCCATGAGATTTAAAATAAACTTCAACATGGGACCCCAAACGGAGGTATGATAGTAGTAGTATTTTATTGACTAAGAGGTCAAAGTAATTCATTGAAAATGGCCAAGCCTGCTAATTAGCCTCAGCTGCTGTAGCGCCCCCCTAGAAAACTCCACACAAACGAATGTTAGGCCATAAACACTCCTCTGGTCTTGGGGTTGGGAGTTTTCAGTTTTGTGTTTGGTTGTAGTCTCGAGAAGAAAAAGTCCTCGAACTTGATGCGTGCATTTGGTGTCGGGAGAGTCAGGTCCATCAATAAAATACTTGCATATTACTGCAAAGCTGAAACTGTTGCTTAACATGGCAATGGTTTGAATCCTAAAGTGTTGTTGTTCACACTTCACACCCTTTAATCTCAAAATTTTCCACCTTTTTATCTGGCGTGAGGCGAAATTTTAAGAGGGATACATGTAAATTTAGCTCTTCCCTTTAAATTTGATTTATTAAAGAAATACAAATTTAATGATATTCTAAGAAAATTTGGACCTGTTTGCTTATTTGAAATGTCACACTTGATAATTGTCTATAGCTTTGGTAAAGAAACAGGATTAATGTCCACATACATTTAACATAATGGTATTGTACTAGTCAATTGGGAGGATTTAAGGAGAATATTTGTGAGTTATAAAGGCTAAGCAAGGAAAGGAAGTAGGACAGAGATTGCTTGAGCAAATCTAGCTAAAATGGGCATAACTCATTTTCGGGCAAGTCTTGCAAATTGATTCAAGACACCATAACTCATTTTCATGCTTATTCACTGGGAGTCGCATCACTATGTTAAGACAGCACAGTGACACATAGCCCACATTCGACTGTGTACACATACTCACATAGTAAGCAAAAAGAAGCAAAAAGAACAAAGCGTCTTGAGCTGTTCTCCTCCTCTTCATTTTCTCATGCTTCTGCTGCCTAAACCATGTTTATTATCCTTCTGATTTTCAAGAATAGACACCCAAAAAAAAAAAAAAAAGAGCCCATCATTTTTTTTTAAAAAATAATATGGTTCCCTTCCATTCTATAAATATCTCTCTGGCCTTGTGTTTTACTTTTTCCTTATTCATCTGTCATGTGAGCTAAACTGATGCTAGCTAGACACCCTTTAGTCTTTTAGTTTTAGCTGTCCTAGCTAGCAGACTTTTAAAGTGAAGACTAGACAAAGAACCTCACTTTCTAGTTTCTACTGGCTGGTTTTCATCTGATCAAACAGTTTTCCTTGGCGGTGGTGCGACAGTCGTGCAAGAGGCTGAGCTCTGTCTGAGGCTGGTGGCTGCAGTCAAACGATGAAAGCTTTGGAGAATATTTGGGTGCTCTGGAAAATGGCTTCATTTTCTAGCAGCCATTTGCGCTCAAGGGCAACTGTAAAAGCTCCTCCTTCGCCGGTACTTCATGTTTTGCAGGGCGCTATCCATTTCCTTTGATGTCACATCACATTAGATATTGAGGGTTGTGGTGCTGGTGGAGGAGGAGGGGGAGCGGTGGCGGTGAGGGGTGGTAGCCAGCGCAAATGGTGGGAGTGATATTGGCGGGACGGCTCAATCTGATTATGTTACATATGGTAATATATATGATCTTTAATTTAGTTCATGGTAAACTGAACTATGATTTTGCCTAATGATGGTGTTTTGTAAAGAATGGTATGTCAAAGATTTGTCCCAAATTGTTAGAATTTTGCAATTCTTTTTTCTACACCAACAGATTGCTGCATCCTGGGAATAGAAAGCTATCTCTTCAGTTCTGGAAAATGTGAAAAATGATAGTCCAAGTTTTGCTGTCTCATTTGGGCTTTGATCTATCCTCAATGTTAGCAATAATTTGCCTTACAAGTTCCACTGTCAACCGAGGCATGATTTGTCTCTACGGCTGCTAACCTTAGTTACAACATTGCTAATCTATGCTCGGTAGTCTCCATTATGAATACTATCTTTTTAATCAATTTTTTTTTTTTGCTTGTCCTGACTACTAATACTAGTATAAGGTTTGCAAAAGAAAACGGAAAAAAAAAAAAAAATCAATTGAGCTGGTAATGTGATCAATTCCATGAATCAACTGGTGTGTTGGATTTAATGAATCAATGACGAATGCTTGATGTTAATTTGCTGCCGGACGGCCATATTTTTTCGTAGTTGTATGATTTGTCTTTTACGTTCAGTTGGACAACTGATGTGGGCTGTGGGGTAAACTTGAAAATGATCGATGGAATAATAATAATATATTTCTAGCAAAAAGATTATTGATTCTAGCAAGCAACGAGGTAAAACTTACTTGTGTTTGGTAGGTACCCTACCCTATGCCTAGATTTGGACAACACTTATTTTAGTTGTTTTATTTGCATTTATCAAACAACATATAATAGTAGTGTCTACAAAAGAAAAGACTTGTCGGTACAATCATAGAATGGGAGATGGATAAACGGATTAGCCATAACGTTGTTGGCTTTCCATGAAGCAAAACTAAGCCCTAAAAAATTTTTTTTATTCAATTATTTCTTTTTTTTTTTTTTGTTTCCTTCTTGGGCTGTAGGATTTGCAGCTTTTTATTTGTATGCATGTGAATTAAGGTGTAGCTATTTGGTTCTTCAGTTCCCTTTTGTTGCTTTGTTCCAAAGCTTCTTTCCTCCGGATTTATGGATTGGTGGGGGTCTTTGGACCCGGAAGGATGATTGGAGTACATAAACTTTAAAAGAAGGGAACAATGAGTACTGGTACTGCATAAAATTGGTGACAGGTACCCCTACTGTTGGCCTGTTGTATGCAAAAACTGTTCACAAGCTTTTGGATTTTCTCCCCTGGCAAAAAACCCACAAGATTTTTTTGAGTTTCTTTCTAATACTAGAGGTACCTCGGCTGTGGCTAGCCCCCTAATAACTTAATTGAACATATAATAACAAAACTTTTTGGTACGTAATAGATAAAAACACGAGAAAATTTGAGCATAAGAAGAAATTCCATCTATGAAGTTAACTCTTCTAAATCAAGGAGACAATAAGCATAACATCTATTAAATCCATTACTAATCTTGATATTAATGAACAAGTGACAATAGGGAAGGAAGAAATCTGATTTTTTCGATGCAACGTTGAGAAACGATTTATAAAGAAATAGAAAAAGAGACTTTAATCGATTACATAAAAGAGTTGTTTAAATGTAATAGTTGGTTAGCTACTAATCAAATATAATTAATCAATATCCAAGGATTAAAATTTTTTTCATTAATCTATAAAGCTTGATCCTATAGTCATAAATTAAACAATATATAAAAACAGTAGAAGTTATTATAGTTATGCAACATGACTTGCAATTGAAATCTTTTGTCTTTATCCTGTATGATACATCTTTTGTCTTGCTCCATCAAGATAGAAGTAGGGAAATAAAAAATGGAAGAAAAATCATAGATTCCTCAAAGGAGAGTTACATCACATGTCAATAAATAAGAGTGCTACATTAAATTCCCATGTCTCTTATATAACAGGTAGACAATTAGAACTAATGAAAATTGATCCAAGGGTTGTAATGCAGTGTTATTGTATTAAAACTAATCTAACGGTGATGAATTAAATAATAGACTCACTTAGTCAAATAATTAAGGTTAAAAAAATTCTTTGGGCACAAAAGGAGAATAAAGAAGCCAAACTTGCTCAGTTTGGTATGAAAAAAAAAAGCAAAAAAAAAAAGGAGATATGCAAGAGGTAAGAAAATCATGTGCAAGAAAAATATTAGACTTATGACACTTGTCAAAACAATTGATATCAGTGGTGGTGAAGGGATGAAGTCAGAAGTGGACTGTTTTTACTGTGTGTGTGTGGTGTTGGTGGTTGCATTTACTGAGCTTGATACAGAAATTGGCAGCTTGGTAGGGCCGGAAAATTTATGAGGGTGATTAAAAAAATGATCAGCGAAATGTGCAATGGGATGAAGGGAACAGAAAGGTCTGCAGTTATTGCAGACTGCACCATATCTAACAGGATAGATTTCTGCCTATGCAATTGCAATTCATTTGGCTTGCAGAGCTCAGTGAACTGTCCCATTTCCTCTGCGGAGTGTGTGTACCGTGAAAATGGTTAGTTAGGAGCAATTTTAACGTTTTCATTTCAAGGTAGTATTATCAAATTGAGACTTTTTTTTTTGGTGGGAAATTTCCGGGGCTACAGATCACAGTGGAGTAGTTTTGTTACATGTAATAATTAGCTGTATTATTCTTTTTTTTCCTTTAACACTTGTAATTGGTGACGAGCATGGTCTAGTTGATAAGATATTTTACCTGTAATCGACAGGTCACAGGTTTGAATCATTAAAAAGTAAGCGGGAAATCACTCTTAATCCTCATTGGAGGAAGAAAAATTTGCAATTGGGGAAGATTAGGGGTTGGTAAAAATCAAATGCAAGCATATGTCCTCCTGCATATATTTCTTTCACCTCTTTTCTTGCCCTTTGGCTAACATTTGCTCCCGTTAACTACTTCCTCTTTGTTGACCATGCTGTGTAGAAAATTTTGGTAGTCTAGTTGAGTCTGGTAAATAATTTAATCAATTTTACTTGATCTTCTACTAGTAGGCTTTCTCAAAAATCATCCAAAAATAAAAAGAGAAGAAAATGAAACCAAATGACATTTGATGGCATTGATGAGAAATGATGGTGGTTTTTCTCTTTTGGGTAATCAAATGCTGGGCTTGTTTGAAAATGCAACGCAAAGGTTTACTGCTGGTGACTGACTCGTGGCGAAGTTCCACCTTTTGAGCCTCAATGTTGCTTGCATTGTCAGTACTGGCCCAAAAAACTTTTTTTTTTTTTTTTCTGTCTAACTGAGCTTTAGGTGGTGACCACATTGATGTGACAGTGCGGCCCATCATGTATTTAGAAAACTTCAAGGCCCAAAACAGATTGTTACATTACGAATGACGACGTGGCTATACTTGATTGGCGCTTTGGTTCCTAAATTCAAAATTAGGATACTTTAGTCCCTAAATTATACTTTGATTTCTCACTTTAGTCCCTAAATTCTAAATTTAAATACCTTAATTTCGAACTATACCTTGATTCCAATTTCAATCCCAAAATCCTTTCCTCCCTTTGACTTTGGGTTTATCCGATTTTCCTTTTATGTCCTCGCAATGTGCAATCATGCTGCTCAAATGACCAGTATTTAGTTAATTTTGAGAATTTGGTTAACGATTGTAGTTAACAGGACAACTTTAATAGCTTACGGATTCAGGTGTTCCAATTTGTAATTTAGGGACTCAAATAAGGAATGATGTATAGTTAAAAGGTGCAAAGTGCAATTAACCCTTGAGAATATACGTCCTCTTCTTGATATTTTTGCCCATGTATTTTGATGAACCATTAACCGCGATTAAAGATTTGATCTGGTAGTGCAGTGACTTGGGCTGCAAATTCAGTACCGTGAACACCTCACCTCTGTCACGAAATATTGCCAGTTTAAAGACACGCGAACCTTCTGCTGTTAATCATTAGAACTCAAAAGAAGAACCATGGAGCCCAGAAAACAAAGGAATGGGTACCAAAAGAGCTGCCCTTAGACAAGGAAGGCAACTTTGCAAAAGTTTCAATGCGGCCCCTGAACTCATTAGATTCTCACCGTACCGGACCGGACCGGACCACTTCATTTGCTCCACTCCCGCAACAAAACATCCAGAAGTTTGCAACAAAAACAACCAGCATTCACTGGGACATTCACAGAGCAATATCATAATCCAATTCCTAATGCAATGCCTACGAATATGCTGACTCGAACGTTCAAACTAGTACTTGACAAATTGTCTTTTTATCTGGTCATTGCGACAAATACATGTATCTTCAAAAATTCAAGCAAGTATAAATCCGTCAAAGAAGACAAAGTTCATGATGAACCGAAGCTTACACAGCCAACAGAGTAAGCCAAGAATGCATGCATTGCTTGAACCATATAGAAATTTGATTGATTTATTCGAAACCCAACTAATTGGACATCTACCATGAAAGCGACAAGTTTATGGGAAAAGCCGGCAACATTCAAAAGCATGAGCAACTAAAGCGCCAGCATGTAAAGAACTAATCCTTTCCTGCGGTAGTTATACTGTGGTATTATAACAAAGTGTTCTATGCTCAAGACAGTAAAATTAGCATGTGCGCTCAAGGTGATTTCACGCATGGGATTACGTTAAAAGAGAAGATCCTTGCAACCAATGGCAATCAAGACCAGCTAAAGTGACTCTCATCTGAAGTCTCAAAACAAACTTAAACTTCTAAGACCAGACATGGCAACTGAAAACTGAGTCAGGGAGTGAGCTAGTTCCATTCTTATATTAATACAGGAAACTATCATGCATAAAGCATTGGAACAGATTTTACATGCATTTGAATGATTAGCTGCCAAGATTTCCAAGACCAAGCAAATCTCAAATGGCTAATCTAGATTTACTTTAATTCCATATTATGGAGATCAAACCACTTGCACCTAATATACATTAATGGAAACTATCATGTCATCCGTTCAAACTGTATTCAACCACATAAAAGTTCTCGATTTCTGAGAGGAATCATGTGTCCACATCTAAAAAGATCAATTAACTAATACCATGAACCAAAAATTCCAATTAATTTGTCATCTCGAGCATTTCAGTATCAGGAAAATGCTTTCTGGGGCTATCCTGAAGTAGTCATACTTCAAGGTAGATGGTTATCTATCCTACAATAGAGAAGCATCAACAGATGCAAAGTTCTAAATCCCAGATAGGCAATTTAACTGCATACAGAAACAGAGATAGCCTTAAATATCAGTACACACACTCCTGCAATTCGGAATTTTGGATGGATAATTTTATCGGTAAAACTCCA